CCCGGATCCCACAGTCCTTCGTGGCGATCAAGCGCGCAACCGGCCAGCCTATCGTCAACCCGACAGGACTTTCCGACTCGCATCAATCCACTCTGCCTAGCCACTGCTTCCCAAAAGTTGGCTTAGGAATTGAGAACGTAAGGGGGATTTGCGGGTGCGCTTGCGGGTTTTATAGTTGTGAGAAAGGAGATAGAAGGGGGAGAGAATAACGGGAAGGCGGGGGTGTAGGAGGAGAAGGAGGAGAAGACTTTGAGAAGAGCGCTCCGAGAATGCCATGTTGATCCCTCGGAACTCAAGGTTCAACCAATCAGATCCGTCGTGCGATAGGTAGCTCCTATCGATCCACGCACCTGATTGGCGAGCGGGAGTTATCGGGGGATCAATTGGGCGTCGTACGCCAAACTCAGAGGGTGAGAAGAGAGAAGGCGCGAGAGGTAGTGCAAGATGGGTCATAGATTCAGATGATCGAGAAAGGGAAATGGGCGCGTGAAAGCAAGGCGAGAGAGAGAGAGGGAGAAGGAAAAACAGTTACGGGGAGAGAGAAAAAGGAAGGAGAAGGGAAGGGAGGCGGGGGAGGGAGTGATGTGGGGGACAGAGAGGAAGAAGCTTTTGCATGCACGGCGCCGTCAACAAAAAAAAGAAAAAGGCACCGAAATAGTTACAACTTGCTTCTATCCCAATTCAAAAATTGAAATCACCATATCCGCGCGCGAAAAAAACGACGCGGGAAAAAAAATCCTACGCCTATTCGTATTTACGCAAAATTCCGAGAGTTTTCCYTGACGCGCCCAAGAACATTTACACACCCAAAAAGGACACGTCGAAGTTCCGCTTATCCCGGAGTTCCCAACTACCGAGCCCAATTCCCAGCGCGCTTGCTAAGGCGCGCGCAATTTCCCATGTATTTCCCGACTTTGCAAAAGGAAAAACAGAACTCAGCAGTCGAAAGAGCTCTAAAAAAAAAGGAAAATGCAGCACCCGAAAGCAAGAAATCAAAACGGGGTTTTTCCTGGGGTTGGTAGGATACAAGCAAAAGAAAGGGTACGGAAGATAGCACGGGTTCGTGAAGTGGTTCGTCACAGACGACAGTGGGGTTGCTCATACAGAGGCATTATGCAGGAGGGGAGATCTATGGGGGTGCGATCTCGATGGAACAGTGGTTGGAAGATAGGATCCAGGAGTTGTTAGACATCTTGTGGGAGCTGGAGGATGGGCCGGATCCCCGGCTTGAAGTCTACATCGACTGGAGGCGGGCGGATGATAGGTTGGCGGCTTGCAGAGCCCTCTTCACATTGGGGCGAGATCTACTCAGTCAGTTGGAGTTTTGGTATGGATTGCTGGCAACTGAAGATGATTGCGGCAAAAACACAAAGAACAGCAACAACATCAGCTACAGCGACATCAAGGATGGGGTTGGTGTCAACAACAACAATCATGGGGGGAGCGACGTCCAAGGCTGCGCCATGATGGGAGTGATGCTGCAGGTGGACGCGGAAGATACGGTAGACGTCAAAAACGGCAACAATAACAAGAACGATGGTGCGGAGGGTTTGGGATTGGGAGAAATGGGCAAAGGGGGTGTGAAGGATGACAGCAATATTAACAACAACGGCGAGAACAACAACGCCGACAACAACAACAACAACAACAACAACAACAACGGTGACGAGGGCGGGGGCGAAGTCCACGGCAGAAGCATGAAGGGTGTTCTGCCGCAGGTGGACATGGATGATAAAGGTGGTGACAACAACAACAACAACAACAACAACAACAACAACAACAACAACAGCAACAACAACATCAACAACAACGACAATAACAACAACAACAATGATGATGATGATGGGGGAGGCGACGTTCGCGGCTGCCGCATGAGGGGAACGATACAGCAGATGGATGCGGATGATAACGGAGACGACAACAAAAATGACGACAACAACAACAACAACAACAACAACAACAACATCAACTACAACAACAACAACAACAACAACAAAAACGTTGACGGCGGAGGGGGAGACGTCCATGGCAGCAGAATGATGGGTAAGATACCACAGGCAGACGTGGTTGGAATGGGGGTGGACACGGGAAATGGGTTTTCTGACTTCCTCCTTGTTATAATTTTTGGCCTCAATATGGAGTTGTTTCTCGTTGTCTGCTGGAAGATAGGAGTAGGTTAGGCAGTGATGATTGGGTTGCCTGGCCCGCAATACCAATCAACACTGGGGTGGTGATCGCCTCGCGGGACTGGTGGTGGGCAGTTTACGCTTGAGTGATAGTTAATACATCTTACATAACATGGTATAAGGATGCTGGATCCAAGTTCCAGCAGATACAAGTCATATTGCTGTAATATACATTACATCATGATTAGGGTTTCGCCTGATAGGATTGATGTCTCATTTTGTTTGCGCTGTGATCGCACAAACGTTATGTGTTTCTGACTCCTCGCCTGATATGATTTATGTCTCATTTTGTTTGCGAGGCTCTATAGATCAGATTGATAGGGACGCTGGACTCGTCTTCCAGCACATACAGTCACACTATGGCACTGGACCTGATTTCCAGCACATATAGTTTCATCATTTGTATAGGGTCGCTAGGCACATGGCTGTACTACACATTACATCAGGATTAGGGTTTCGCCTGATAGGATTGCTGTCTCGCTTTGTTTGCGAGGTTCTATAGATCAGATTGACAGGGATGCTGGACTCGTTTTCCAGCACATACATTCACACCATGACACAAGGACGCTGGACCTGATTTCCAGCAGATATGTTTTCATCATTTATATAGGGACGCTGGACCCGATTTCCAGCAGGTGTAGCTCCCCACCAATAGATGGAGCTTTCGACGCTGGGGCCTACTTACCGGGGATACTCTTATCACCTCGCTAAGTAGGTTTCCCATATACGAAGTTAAAAAAAGAAAAAAAGAGTAAAAAAAGGAAAGAACTGCCAACTGGGCAGTTCTTTCCTGACAGTCCAGAGTCCCCCCTATTATTTTTAGGGGCAACAACGTGTGACAGTCACAGAAACAGTTCAAGATTGCACAGAAACAGTTCGAGATTGCACTTCACAGGCATTCCCCCGAGCATAACACTCAGTGTCACCCCCTCCTTACAGCACCGGACCGGAAAGCAACCCGAAAGCCAACCTGTAAACATTCGACATTTTCAGGCCGAATGCCTGAAGCCCTATTTCAAACTGTTTTTGATACCGCCGTGTAGTTTCCACTTTTTTTTATTATATAATCATAGGATCTGATGCGCTTGTCGGACTATTCAACTCTTCTTCTTCTTCTTCTTCTTCTTCTTCTTCTTCTTCTTCTTCTTCTTCTTCTTCTTCGTCTTCTCCTTCTTCTTCTTCTTCTTCTCCTCCTCCTCCTCGTCGTCCTCCTCCTCCTCCTCGTCTCCTATTCTTCGTCATCCTCCTCCTCCGCTCTTCTACCTCCATATCTGGTTTCACATTCTTTGAGTGCTTTATCACTTGGCTGATGTATGTTGCTTGAGATCTTTCTCCACTAGTCCGGGGATTGTGCCTCCGTGACTCCCAGGGGCTGATAATCGGGCGATTGGCTGCCCGTGCCATGGGGACTGCCTCTTCGGCCTGCCATCGGTCTGTCCGGCCACCTGCCAGAAAGTAGTCTCCCACCAACTTGCCTAGGTCAGTGGGTACACCCACGAACTGCTGAAATGCCGATCCAAGTTCCAGTAACTCTGTTCAGAAATCTCACAGACAATCAGATGACCATAATAAGATCATAATTCTGAATTACCGGGGGCCGATTCACCCTTCAACAACAAAAAAAAGAAATCTTGGGGTAACTACTAGGGCGCAGTCACTAAAGCAGTTTCTAAATGCATTTCAAACTGCGTTCCCGCTTTGCAGAAAAGTCACATTGCGGTGTTTGTAACTGCTGCAGTCCATCAGGCACGTGACCGTTTTTTTTTTTTTTTTTCCCTTTTTTTTCCCCCTCAGGCATGGGAGAGGCATCTCTTCGTGTGGCTGTGCCTCGGCCACGACCGAGGAAAAAAAAAAAAAAAGGGGCAACGGAATGTGGGTCACAACCCACTTTTCAAATAGGCAAAAAAGAACACTTGTCTGGCAGACTGGCAGGTCATCCCGCACCAGTTCAAACAGGCAATAAAAACAACAGGCGGCATTTCACACATGGGACATGTTCAAAATAAGGAGTGGCCCCATCTCGAAATCCGTATTGCCAAGGCTAGCACACGAAAGTAGAAGAACGGCTTTGATGAATAGGACCTAGAGCACTAGCCGATAGAATGCCAAGCTGATGCGTCAGATGCGATGCTTGAAAAAATAGAAAAAAAAGTATCATTGGCTCAGTGAAATTGAATTCTCCAAAATAGAAAAGAAGTATCATTGGCTCAGTGAAATTGAATTCTCGGTGAAGATGTGGAGTACCGGCAGCTAAACTTTCAGTGAAATTGAATTCTCGCGAAGATGAAGAATACCAGCGGCTAGAGGGTAAGACCCCATGCACCTTAATTGGAGACGCTCAGTGAAATTGAATTCTCCATGAAGATGCAGAGTACCAGCGGCTAGACGGTAAGACCAGTGCACCTTTATTGGTCTTCATATGGTCTTACGTTATCACCTAAATACAAACTTAGGCCTTTGACACAAACAGTGTAACAAACTCTTTTGTTTGTCTAAACAAGTATACATTTTTTTTGCTACTTTTTGAACAGGCAGATTACCATAAAAAATAGATAAATTTTTAATCTCTTGTAATTCTTGTGAAAATTCATCGGCCTTGTTTGTGTTTTTTCTGATTTTTCAGCCTTCAATCGTGTGTGTATTGGCACATTCACTATACACTCAAAAGAAGCACGACTGTGCCGGACTGTGCGTATGTGTGTGTGTGATATGTATGTGCGTATGTGTGTGTGTGATATATATATATATATATATATATATATA